GGGAATGTAAATGTAACATTGAATTCCAAATAATTGGGCCCCCTACGTCAATAGATGATTCCCGCAAACTGCATATTTCTATCTACTGCGGTTTTTACATAAATAAAGATGCAAGATTAAATAAAAACACCTTGTATATATATGTGTGTCCGTTAGCGCGATAACTCGAGCAAAAATGATTCGATTTTGATGAAATTTTGTGCAAACGTGTAAACCTACGTTTATTCGAACAACTTCGCGAACCAGCACAATCGGACCATGGGAACGGGTGTTTATTGGGGCTTTTATGTGGTAAAAATGGGTTTTCCCCATTTTTTCTCCTAAAAACAAAAAAAAATTGCAATTTCTTTCTAAACCGTTTTGTAGAGCTTAAAAAAAGAAATAGTTTAGTATATTGAAGCGCTGTTGTATACCTAACGGTCACGGAGAAAATTAAAAAATAGTGTAATAATTATATATTCCTGTGTTATTCTTATGGAGAAAATGAAAACTGTTGTAGTTTACTTGTTTATGGATATAAATTGATAATATTTATTTCATTATATACTATTGACGTATGGTCAAAAAACACTTTTTACCTTCCCCGTAGCAGCAAACATAAGCACTCATTAAATCTAATGTTAGGTATTTGAATTGAGAATAAACATGTCTTATTTATGGAAATATTTTAGTAAACATGTAATCAGAGAAGTTAAAATTCGCTTAGTCTGCAGGTTTTGCTGCGGCGGGGGTATTTATGATTACTATATTTTCGGGGCTAACAGCTCAAATTTCAAATCTTCTTGTCTTGTTAAATTACTGTTAATAGCATTGGTCATTGTTGAACCGCAGGGGGCTCACGCTTGCGTGGGTTCGTGGCCTGGGCGACCACGCGGACCCTAGCTCTCCCAGAGGGGAGGTAATTGCCCGGTGTTGGAACCGGCACTTCAGGTAGACCACAAGCTATGGACGACTGGACAAGCCAGCCTCTTTGGGTTTACCCAAAGTGAGAGTACCCAGTGACATTCCCTCCATTCAGGGTGGTGGGGTGTTCAGCTCTGCTAGTGTTGATTAAGTTCATAGATCTTTCACCTGCCTGTAGCTTGTGGTTGTGACTGAGTCCTACCTGTCGTGTACGACTGACATTTTGTGAGGCATATCCTCGACTTTGGAAGTAGCCTCGTCCTGGGAGGTGAAATACCTAGCCCCCAGAGGGGAGGTAAATGCTCCGTGTTGGTATCGGCATTTTCATTTTGGTCACAGACATGGACGACTGGACATTGGGTCCCAGTGACATTCCTTTATCCAGGATGGAGGGGTGTTTAGCTCTAGGAGAGATGGAAGTACATCATAATCTCTAACCTACCTGTGTCTGTGGTTCTTTGGGCTTCGGCCTGCTTGTTGTGTGCGACCAGCATTCAGTGGGCAAATCCTCGACTTTGGAAGTAACCTTTCCTGGAGGTGAAAACGGGCAAGTACCCGCAGCTCACGGGGACACTCAAGGGCAACGTAACTTTCCGCAGTGTGAGGGCAACGGTTTGTAGGTACTTATGCAAACCAATCCCTGTCTCTGAGCACGGACGGTATGGTTATCTTGAGTGTGGGGGGTTCTTCCCGGAACCTCAATTGAGTCAAGGGTGTCGCCACCTCTGGTGGATAGGTTCATCCGGGTGGGTCCCACTTCTATACCTGCCTCCTTTTGGGAAACCCTGATGGCCTGGCAGTGATGTTGGGTCTGACGGGCAAACGAAGTAGATCGGGTGCTGGGTCCGAGCCCGCCAGGGGTATCTGGGGATCTATCGCTCTGGTTATCTCTGGTTTCCCAGCAATGGGTAAGGCCTCGATCGGGCAGCGATGTAAATGGGAGGTTGGGGTTCCCCCCGTCAGCGTGCTGACGGTCCCCTTCCTCCTGGCTATCGATGGCGGGTTCTGCCTGTCAGGGATTAGATAGGTCCCGAGTGTTGCTTGCACTAAATGCGTCGGGGCGCTCTACCATGGACCTCTAGGTCTCGACCTAGTGGAACCCAGGTGGAGTGACGCTTAAACAAGCAGCCGGAATCCCTGGTTAGGATTGAGGGGCAACCCTCCTTCCGAAGGGTCTGCTTCGGCAGCCGGCGAGCCTGATGACCTTAAGTCATCCGCCCATGATGTGCTAAAGGTTGATGCGTAAGCTTCGGCCTACATCATGGGGCCCGGGTATGTCCTAAAGGATAGGTACCGGGTATGCAGTCAGGGGGCTTCGGCTCTCATGACAAAACGAAATGAAATGAAAATGAAATGAAATGGTCATTGTTGAAGTTCACATGTACACATAGCCTACACTCACACACGAAACATTTATTATTGACCACTTAACAAGCAACATTGAAAATTGGTATTTTGGCCGGCCTAAACAAAAATGATTAGCGTTGTGGTTGTACACTGACTATATTATTATTATTACTCTTTATAAATCCAAGAGGCAAAACATGGATAAAAAATATTTAGCTCTCTGAGTGTTAAATATTCGCATGTAATCAAAAGTTGCCGATTCGATCCTTAAAAGATTAAAAAGCGACTTAATGGTTAGAAACTGGACCCAGCTAACCTTGATCATTGACAACGCTTGAAAAAATCCCGTCATCTGTTGAACTTAGTTACTGTACGACTTAGTTTAAATCATCTGATTATATACAATAACATAAACTCACCATTGTCAACATACCATTTCACTCAAACAATCGTCTTCATATTCTTAGATAGTTTTAATATCGCAGCACGAGGTGGTATAGAGCAATAGAGTGGCGTCAGTCGGGATCTCCGAATACCCAGAATTCCGCTTGGCGCCGCCAATCCGCCCGCCAAAACTTGTTTATTGTACTTTTTCTCTTTGTGTCAGTTTTTGTTAGTCCGATCCAATGAAATGTGTCTTTTCAATTGGCAGGATCCGCTGGATGGTCAATTTTGATATTTATTACTTTTGGATCTACAAAATGTTTATCAGTTTATTTTTTGATGAAACATAACTTATATAAATACAACTAAATTATACAGTTATTATTCAGAGTGGAGTAAGTGTAATGTAATAGAGTGTCGTATTTTTATATACAGCTGTATATGTAGCGCATGTAATGCTTTTTTGCATTTTACCCATTTTTTCCTTTATTTGTCAGGCATTCTATATAATGCCTGAATCGAACCAGTGACCTTCAGATTTGAATAAGAACATCTAGTACCTCTCATCTACACATCTATATTCACTCAATCTCTAATTAGTGATCACTATATTTCAAAAGCCATAACCTGGAATGAAGGTTCTAGGTGTGCAATAAAAAGCGTTTTTTTAGAAATTCCATCAGGTCTCTGCCCCGTGGCCTTTAAAGTTCCCATGTTATCCTCATGGGGATAAGATTTGTTTACACTTTAGCATATCATTATACTTTAGAATTTCACTTCATTATGGGAACAGCTGGTTTTATTTAATTGGTTGAAATGAAAAGAAAACTGCATTGTTTTGTGGCTTATAAATTTGTGTGTTACTGCATAACACTACTTGTAATCGTTAAACTAATTTAAGAATCGATATATTTTACTTACTTTGATACATTCATAAGAAATGGTGACCGTACTTGTGCACTACATGTTGTGGTTTTTAAGATCTATACATGTGTTTAGATTAAAGCACACGCCTTAAAAAATAAAAAAGTGTGTTTCCAAAACAAAGAGATAATTGTATATTATTTTTGCGTAGTTGTATAATTCAAGAGGCGTAATATTTAACTCATTTACTTTTTCATAAATTTTTAAATAATAATTTTAGATTACAACCGCCAATTAGTTACGGCGCTTTCTAATCCAGAGTTAGTGGCTACCGATCTCTGCAGTTTACTTTAGATAATTCACGAAGATTTCACATTCCATTCGAAAAATAAAAATTTTTATGAGCGTTTCGTGGTCTTAAAATGTGTTATTTTTAACAAGCATCCTTAACTTGCTGTTGGAATAATAATTTTTTTAAAGTTTTAAATATTTATGTTTCAGCTTACAGCTACGAATGTAAGCTGATACATAAATATTTAAAATTAAAAACGACAATTTTAAAAATTGGGCCAAAGTGTGTAACTGTATTTCATAAACTCCAGACGAAGAACGGTCAATCAATCAGTATACTTAGCCGAGATTTAAAGATCCTGGATTGAGGATTCTGGTACCTGCCGCAAACATTTCATCAGTACAGTTCACCTATTTACTGTACCGGCTCATCCCTTGTTTTGCTGGATACGTTCCACGCACGGGCAGTTATAATCTATGTGGACGGGCAAATGCAAGGTTAAAAGAGGCCGCGAACCTCGTTTTGAAAAAAAAAAAGTTGGAGTCGTAGACACCCCCAGCATAGTTGACCACAGAGGAATGAGGATGACTGATCATAAACTGATATATTGTCGTGTAACTTGCAAGACAAAAAAGGGTCGAAGCTCAAATACAAACTCATTTACATTTAGAGATCTTTCAAAATTTAAATGCCGATACTGCACTCAAAATAACTGCTGATGCTAACGGGAGTTGTGTGTACAAGCTAGAATCTCCTGAATACCTTTCCTATTTTGACCATAAAAAAACAATTTTTCTCCAAACCATTTCGTAGAGCTTTAAAAAAGAGATAGTTATGTATATTGAAGCGTTGTTGTATGCCTAACAGTTACGGTGATAATCCAAAAAACAAATTTAAATTTCCCATGTAATTCTTAAGGATAATAAATAAACTGTTGTAGTTTGCTTGTTTGTGGATATATTTTAATTAAATTTGTAATTTTTTTCCATACTAGGTCAACATTTCAATAAAAAAATACCTCAATACCTTCCCTGTAGCAACAAACCTAAGTACTCAGTAAATTTAATGTAATTTAAATAAGAAAGCAAGTCTGACAATTTTAAGGGAATATATTAGTATAGATCCAGCCAGGAAAATGGAAATTTGCTTAGTCTGCAGGTTCGCTGTGGTGGGGTATTTATAATTTAACAGGTAAAAATAGACACGAACATAACAATGTATGCATAGTTTGTATTTGAATCAAACAGCAGTCGACTTAACCTTTATGGCAAAATCAATATGGGGTATGGGGAACTCCAAAAGTCCTCCTTGTCCTCCCAGAAACAGAGAGTCCAACACGGGGTGGAACTCCATAACTAGTACTAGATAGTCTCTGGGTCCCGCGCTGGAACAGTGAAAATACAAATTGGAGCATGAGGCTATAACATCTATTTAGTAAAAAAAAGTAATAAAAAAAACTTACACAATGGAGTTACATACAGTTAAAAGTGTTTTGCATTATGCCGTCCAGCTGCCGTACAATTTATTTTATTAACACGTTTTTATTAGCACGCTTTATTGTTGGGTATACATTTTGCAATCGATTTTAATCTAACTTTGCGATGAGATAGAGACTTGAAACATAGCTTATAAATGGATGACAATGCAATATTAAATCATTTCATTTCCATATTTCAATTGGGCTACGCCCCATGGGCTTCCAAAATATCAATTTTTACATTTTGGAAGAATGTCAATAGTCAAATCTTACTTCTTACTAATATTATAAATAATGTGAAAGTTTGTGTGTTTGTTTGTTTATTTGTTTGTTTGTTTGTTTGAAATTCGATCACGCATTAACTACTGGATTGATCGGGCTGAAATTTGGCATGATGATAGCTCACATTCCCGATTAACATATAGGCATATTCTTATCTCAAAAATCCTTTCGGGCTCCGCCCCAGTGACTCTGTAGTAGGAAAGGAAACAAACATATTCACACAGTACATCCTGAGTGTATGATTTACATCTATATTTCTAATCGCGGTACTGTAAAATAGCAAATCATTCAATAGGTGAAGATAATCGTAAAAAAGCTATTGCAAGCGCCTCAAGTTTTTAGTTTTAAATCTTATAAGTGTTTATCCTCTCCACATATCTATAGATACAGAAACAATTAACATAACAGAATTATTTTATTAGACTCGCCGATTTCTGTTGTGGTGGAAAGAAGCTTAAGAGGGTTGAATATATAATATATTACCGTTACTTTTCATTCCTTAGTACGTAGGTAAATAGTTAGGTGTTCTAGAGGTAATCAACGTGATCAACTCACATCATTGGATAGGTATTACAAGTATGTTTTCAACCCACAAAAAGTAGTTTCACTATATACTTGCAATGGCTGGTCAAATGGTCAACATGTTCACTTGGGAGCGAAGAAACCTTTTGTTCATTAACTCCTTTACTTCTTTCACTAACAACTTGAGCAGGGTTTTCGTAGAAGCCGAATACGACTGCGGAAATGCCGTCGTCCGAGCCCTTTAAGCACTGAGTTTCCTTATCGGAAAACCGTCTATTTTAACCGTTGTTTGTTTTTCATAGTTTGTTTTTCGTTGTTGTCAGTAGGTGCCAAAAGAATCAGCCGTATTTGGCATCTAGGAAAACACGCCTTAAACTGCACGGATCTTAAAAAAAGAGGGCCGCCACCATTATAATTTGCTAGCTATGTTCGGTTAGGGTAGGTTACGTCTGGTAAAGTTAGGGGTAAGTTAGGTTAAGATAGGTAGAGTTAGATTGAGTCAGGTAATGTTAGGTTTGTTTACATTAACTTTATATGTAGCAAAATTTTAGTAGGAGCTCTCTTTTTTAAAAGGCCATACTGCACTTTTAGTTAAGGCTTACCCTGCCTCTCCACTGGTGGGCTGGTAGGCCCCTGATCCCACCACTATCACCTGGTAGGTCCACTCTCACACCGTTGTCAAGGTTAACTGGTGGCTGTAGAGAGATTTCTTTGGTTATGCCGTTTGCCATATACCTCATCTTTTTGTTCTCCTTGTCCAAAGACAGGAATCCGTTGAGACCGTCCTCTGAGCACTCCTCGTTAAAGAACAAATACACTGTTTCTCCGTCGGAATCGGTCAATCGCCCGACAATCCCTTGAGGCGTGTCGTAGCACTGCAGAACCCAAAAGTCTACAGTGGTTTCAAACTCAGTGCTGTAACCAGTGAGCACATAACCAGCCTGTTGCATCTCCGATGTTCCCAGCACGCGTGTGACTGAAAAAATACTGGTTGATAAATCGTATGCATACATTTAAACAATGTTTAACATGTATTGTTTCAGTATATGCAGTGTTTAATATTTAGCAATATAATTGACTATACACAGAATAGACTTCCCATGTAATGTAAAATTTGAAGCCAAACAAACGTGGTGCAATCTGTTGAGATGGTCACAAACTATTGGCAATATTCTGTGTTAAGTGATAAATCAATCAGCTGTTTGATATGATACTGTTTTGGTTTTAGTTAATATTCAACCCAATACATAGATAAATAGATGGTCCTGAACTCCATCTATTTTCTTGGCTTCAAACTTTCATATCATAAGGGAAGTCTAAATGGCAATATTAAACAATACTTGTGACCATATCTATCTATATATATAATACGAGAAGCCGTTTTTTGTTAACGCAACTCCTCCCTTATTTGTTGACCAATTTCAATTCCTACTCTTAAGGGCGTGAGACCCTCTCAAAGGCCAATTTCCCCCATAAGAAATACATAGAACAATTTTAAAAACAAAAACAGCTGTTTATAAAAAGAAACTCATTAGCTTTTTGGGAGTAAATATTAATGTTTGTAATATTCAGTAAGTTAAGACCAAGTTAAACAGTTAATCAGTTTTGTTGGAAGAACAGAAAATGCCTCAAGTTCAAAGAAGAAATATTGATAACGGTAGGATGAGACAATTCATTAATGATAAGATATGTTAGGTGTATGAGGACTGAGGAGAGTAGAAAAAGAGAGGTCCAACAGATACCCATCCAGATACACATTCACTTGGTGAGATGAATAATATTTGCCAGCTCTGCTATGCAACTTACTTTGGAAGTGATAAAATTATAATATAATATTATAATAATTATAACTACGATTTAACCTGTCATTTCGTGTTTATAGTTTCGGTATTTCCGAACCTTCTGGACTTTTCTTTTAAACGTTTTTAAAACATTCCTACGATCTTAATAAACAAGAAAATACCTTTAAAGCATTTTTTTAGGCGCGGAAACCACTTCAAATTACAAAAACATGCGGAACTATATTCTCAAAACGCGGAGCACATTTCTTGCCGAGGAAAAATAGCGGAGTGATACGGACCGCGGGTACTACTTTCTCTAGGGCACCATTTGTGTTGCCAGCTGAACCTAAAAACGAGTTGTATAGTGTTTGAAAGACTAATTATTTATATGCTTTATAGGGACTGTAGGAAAAATATAATGTGTAACACGAGTGAAAAAGGCCTTTGCTGCACTCGAGATCATTCCACTTTCGCCTGCGGCTTGTGCGTAAACATTGCTCTCGTGTGCAGCAAAGTGCCACTTTCACCACTAGTTACACAAATAACTTTAGTCGTACAGAGTTTAGCCAAAACATGTATAACTCTGTATTTTCTCCCCACTATAAATTTGGAAGCTTCTTATTAGGTATTTTGCAATTAACTTTTAATGGTGGTGAATCGAGCAAAGTAGAAGATAATATTCTGAAAGTGAATATCTTGGCACACAGCTTTTTAATTAAATATCACATACAGAAATACTTTTTACACAATTAATAACAATCGAAGAGAAATTGTGCATTTTGATTGCTCAGAGTTTTATTGTAAACGCCGTTTAAGTAAAACTCACCAGTGATGGCACCGCTAATCCATACTTGGACCTGAAACAATAAATTATTATGGTAATCTTATATTTTAAAAACTATTGGTTTTCTTTTCCAAGTTCGTTTGGCTCTTCTATCCGACCGGTTTTCATGATTGAGGTCTCAAATTGAAGGGCACGCACATGGTTCATATATAATTAAATGCTGATGCTTGATGTGAAACATGTGCAGTAACATTTCTGTGGGATCGCAGTTAAGTTAAATATCCACAGTGAACCCATCTACGTTCACGCACGTACGTATCTACGTACGTGAACGAAATTTGCTCCTCATGTATTTCTTATGGGAGTTAAATTTGGTTTTATTTTCGGAGTTCGTTTGGCTCTTGTACCCGACCGATTTTCATGATTGATGTCAAAATTGAAGGTATGCATGATTATGCAGATTAGTATGCAGATTACACATCAAACATCAGCACATACAGGGTGATTGGTATAAGTGTGCCAGCTATCTTATTCGAAAGTTATAAGAGATATAACAAAATGTTAAATTGTAACTGCCTTGGATTTTTTATCAAACAATTTTTAATCAAGTTGAAAAATAATTTTAGTCGTCATTTTTCCAATATGGCCGCAAACTTTGATTTTTCTTACGGATAACCCTTTATTTTATGCCTGTTTTAGAAATTAAATACAATTTAAAGCGTTTTTATTCTTGACATTTATTCTCTAAAGCTACTAGTTTAGTAGTTACCGCGTGTTTCAAAAATTACTTGCTGGGTACATTCTGCATCATGTATTTCCTAAACGAGTAAGTTTAGAGCAAAAATGCAAAGACGAATAAGGGTCTTAAAATTGCATCTAGATTCTAAAAGGACCATAACATACTTAACAAATATTGATTCCATAGTTTCACAAAATGGCCACCATTTTCCAAAATGGCAGGGAAATCTTAAAATGGGGAAACTGTGTAGATTATGGTCTTTTTAGAATCTAGAAGCAATTTGAAGTCTTTTACATTTTTGCTTTAAACGTACTCGTTGAGGAGCTACATGATACAGAATGTACACCGCAAGTAATTTTTTCTTAGTTGTAACACGCTGTAACCACTAAACTAGTAGCTTAAGAGAAAAAATCCAGGAATAAAAACGTTTTTAAATTGCATTTACTTTCTAAAACAGGCATAAAATATAGGGTCTTCCGTAAGAAAAATCTAAGTTGGCGGCCATATTGGAAAAATGACGGTTAAATTTGTTTTTTCAACTTGACCAAAATTTCTTTAGTAAAAAATCCAAGGCAAACGATGGGTAAAAATTAAGTAATTTTGTGTAGACGCCCCCTTTCACCAATTCCTGTAATAAAAGTCCTCCCCACGGCTTTTCCCTACATTCCATCAAAGTCACAATGTATTTCTTATGAAAAAGATATACTAACCCAGCTGTTTAATAAAGCTTACTTCAGTAGTGGAATTCGTCAAGTGTAAAGATTTGCGTCAGCGAAGACATGATTATTGTATGCTTGAAGTTGTATTGAACCTTTCCCGACTGGTTTTTAACATTTGCAATGGTATGTTATGGGATAAACGGTGTGACGTAAGAGAACTTAAGAACAAATTGGATCGTAATTGAAAAACAAACAGTAAACCGTTAGCTGTAACGTCAAACTGTTTATTTAATGATAATAACATTCATGTTAAGTAATTAATGACCAGGTGTAGAACAGAACTCTGGTAATCGTGAGTCGATAGTAGGTTATGCGAGATATTCCGCCAATCAGAGAGGAGTATTTCATAAGCCCCTCCTCCTAAGTGTTACACCTAACGCACACGTGTATCAGCTGATGACACCAGCTGAATTATTAATTATTTAAGTTGGAGACGCCACTAGGCGCGTATTTTAACCAAATATGAGTGTAGGATAAGTGGCGCGACTGTACCGTTGGAGGTTATGAAATTTGGACATTATGAACCGCTCCGTTTATTTAATATTTAAACGTTGGAGTTTGTGAAACTTGGACATTGTGAAACAGTGATTATTTGAATGTTATAGATTTGGAGCTTATGAAATTTGGAGGTTATGAACCGCTCTGTTTATTTAATTTTTAAACGTTGGAGTTTGTGAAACTTGGACATTGTGAAACAGTGATTTTTTGAATGTTATAGTTTTGGAGCTTATGGAATTTGGACATTATGAAACGCGCTGTTCATTTAATATTTTAACCGTTGGAGTTTGTGAAATTTGGATTTATGAAACGCTCCCGCGCGATCTTTGTAGTCTTGTTAGTATTTACAGGCCGACATATTCCTTAGACACATCAGCTGTTAATTACTAGCCCAAACAGCTAATGGCAACTAAGGGACCTCCAGTTTATAGTGTAATCCGAACCACATGTCAACTGTTTATAACAACTGATATAATGAACATTTCCTGTAAATATTTGGTTTTTCAGAAGCTGACTTTGTTTTTTAGTGTTTTCACAAATGTTTTCCGACTTACCCATAACCACATAAAGTTGTCCTTGTTTATCTTTATCTTAGATAGTGTAGCCAGGCTTCTCGCACTGTTTTCATTGAAATTCGTACGCAACCTCAGATTTAAATTAGTAGATATTTAATTTGAACTAACTCAGTAAATGCGCGTTTTCTTGAATCCAGCTAATCATATTATAAGCAAACAATGATAACATGGGTCACAAGACACTGTAGCCAAAGCCACTGGGACAAAGCCCAGGGGACTTTTTCAACATGTAAGACTAAGACCTTATTATGACATCTACTCAATAAGATATTTTCAATGAACCGTATACTAACAAAATCGGTTAAGAAACCATGGAGGAGAAACAATGCTGACAAAAGTCGTGCTTGCCTATTTTAAAACGTTTTTATTAGCTCACTTTCTCGTCCGGTACACATTTTGCAATCAATTTTATACTAACTTCCCGATGACCTAGAGACATGAAACTTGAAACATAGCTCACAAATGGATGACAATGCAATATTATATCATTTAATTTTCATATTTCCCTTGGGCTACGCCCAATGGGCTTGTTTTTGTTGGCTCACTTTCTTGTCCGGTACAAATTTTGATATCGATTTTAAACTAACTTCCTGATGAGCTAGACACTTGAAACTTGAAATATAGGTCACAAATGGATGCCAATGCAATTAATACTGTATCGTTTTATTTTCATATTTCTCTTGGCTAAGCCTAATGGGTTTTCAAATTTTCCATGTTTACGTTTTGAAAGAATGTAGGTAAATATATCAATTAATTTAAGTCAGCTGTAAATACTATAAATTTGACAGTTAGAAGAACAGAGGTTAAGAGGTAAGGGTTCTGCTCCCGAGATATTCTAAAAAATATCAAACAAGCATTTCAAAGTATAG